CCTGTAGAAAAGGCATTAGATTTCAATCAATCAACAAATATTTATGTCCACTTCATGCCTGGTACTGTACTAGGCACTAGAAATGGAAATACAAACCTATAGAACAGATTTTGCCCTCGAGGAGCCCGCGTTTTATTGTTCTGTTTGTCTCAGAGGGCAATGGGTCTAAAGTGTAGAAAGCCAAATTAAGGTTTAATAGGAAAAAACTTCCAAATAATTAGAGCTAAAAGTGAAATGAGAGAGACAGAGAGAGAGACAGAGAGACAGAGAGAGAGACAGACAGAGAGAGGATTCAACTCCAAATCTTCCTAACTTCCCTCTTACTGTCCAGGGTTCCACCATCTTCATAGCTGCTCAGACTCAGAACCTAGGTAATATCCTTGACTCTTTACTCTCTTTCATCGCCCATATCAATCTGTTGCCAGATCCTATAATATCTATGTTCACAGTATCTCTCCTATATGCCCCTTTCTCTCCTCTGACACTGCCACTACCCTGATACAGGCCCTCATCACCCCACACATGGATTATCACAATAGCCTTCGGGTTGGTTGCTCTACTTCAAGTCTCCCCATCCCAATCCATCCTTTACTCAGCTGTCAAATTGATCTTCATGGTACTAGCTGTGTGACCCTGGGCAAGTCACTTAACCCCAAATGCCTCAAAAATAAAAACAAAAAAAAACAAACAAAAATAAAACAAATTGATCTTCATAAAGCACAAGTCTGACCTTGTAAACCCCTCTTCAATAAACTTCAGTGGCTCCCCATTACCTCCAGGATCAAATACAAAATCCTTTGTCTGCCTTTTAAAGCCCTACATAACTTGGTCCCTTTCTACCTTCTCAGGCTTCTTACACTTAACTCCCCTCCACATACTCTGAGATCCAGTGACTCTGGCTTCCTTGAGGCTCCTTGCCCAAGATACCACATCTGCTGCCTGAGATTTTTTATTGGCTGCCTCCCATCCCTGGAATGCTCCCTCTCCTCATCTTTAACCCCTGATTTCCCTGACTTCAAGTCCCAGATAAAATCTCACCATTTGTGACAAGCCTTTCCCAATCTCCCTAAATGCTACAAGCCTTCCCTCTGAGATTTGTCCTGTATATATCCTGTTTGTACATAACTGCTAATTTGTTGCCTCACCCATTCAATTCTGAGCTCTTTGAAGGTAAGGGTGCTTGCTTTTCTTTGTATCCTCAGCTCTTACCATAGTGCCTGGCACATAATAGGAGCTTAATAAATTCTTCTTGATTTAATTCAACTACCTTCTTTCCTTCTTGAAATTTACTACTCCTCTGCCATCTTTTCTAATTCCTTCTTCTGTCTCCTCCCCTTAAATATGGGTGTTCTCCAAGGATCAATCCTCAGGCCTCTGTTTTAAATATAGATAGTCATACAGAGAGAGATAGACAGACAAACATAGGATACATTTTGAGTCTTTAGAGAATTAGTTTAATTACTCTCAAAAATCATCAGCATTTCTACATATTACCAACAAAGCCCAACAGCAGGAGATAGAAAGAGAAATTTCATTTAAACTTACTGTAGACATTATAAAATATTTAGGAATTTCCCTGCCGAAACAAACCCAGGAACTATATGAACACAATTATATAACACTTTTCACACAAATAAAGTCGGATCTAAATAATTGGAAAAACATCAGTTGCTCATAGGTAAGCTGAGCTAATATAATAAAAATGATAATCCTACCTAAATTAATTTACTTATTCAGTGCCATGCCAATTAAACTACCAAAAAATTATTTTATAGAACTAGAAAAAAATAATAACAAGACTCATCTGGAAGAACAGAAGGCCCAGAATATCAAGGGAACTAATGAAAAGAAATGGTAGGAAAGGTGGCCTAGCCATACCAGATCTTAAGTTGTATTATAAAGCAGCAATCATCAAAACTACTTGCTACTGGTTAAGAAACAGAGTAGCGGATCAGTGGAATAGGTTATCTACACTAGACACAGTAGTCAATGACTATAGTGATCTACTGTTTGATAAATCCAGAGACCCTAGCTTCTGGGATAAGAACTCACTATTTGACAAAAACTACTGGGAAAACTGGAAAGGAGTATGGCAGAAACTAGGTACAGACCAAAATCTTGCACCACATACAGAAATAAAGTCAAAATGGATCACAATTTAGATATAAAGGTTGATACTATAAGCAAACTGGGAGAGCAAAGAATAGTTTACCTGTCAGATTTATGGAGAACAGAAGAATTTATGACCAAACAAGAGATAGACAACATTGCAAAATGCAAAATGGATGATTTTGATTCCATTAAATTGGAAAGTTTATACACACATACACACAAAAGCCAATGCAACCAAAATTAGGAAGGAAGCAGAAAACTAGGAAAGAATTTTTAAACCAGTGTCTCTGATAAGGGCCTCATTTCTAAAATATATAGAGAATTAAGTTAAATTTATAATACAAGTCATTCCCCAGTTGATAAATGGTCAAAGGATATGAACAGGCAGTTTTCAGATGAAGAAATTAAATCTATCTATAGTCATATGAAAAAATGCTCTAAATCACTATTGATTAAAGAAATGCAAATCAAAATGACTCTGAGGTACCACATCACACCCATCAGATTGGCTAACATGACAAAACAGGAAAATGATAAATGTTGGAGAAGACGTGGGAAAATTGGAACACTAATGCGTTGCTGGTGGAGTCGTGAACTGATCCAACCATTCTGGAGAGCAGTTTGGAACTATGCCCAAAGGGCTACAAAAAAGTGCATTCCCTTTTTGACCCAGCAATGCCACTTCTAGGGCTATGTCTCAAAGAGATCATACAAATGGGGAAAGGACCCATATGTAAAAAATATTTATAGCAGCTCTTTTTGTGGTGGCAAAGAATTGGAAATTGAGGGGATGCCCATCAATTGGGGAATGGCTAAGCAAGTTGTGGTATATGAATGTAATGGAATACTATTGTGCTATAAGAAATGATGAGCAAATGGACTTCAGAAAAACTTGGAAAGACTTGCATGGACTGATGCTTGTGTGAAGTGAGCAGAATCAAGAGAACATTGTACACAATATCAGCCATGTTGTGTGATGACTAACTTTGTCATCAGTCTCAGCAATGCAAGAATCTAAGACATCTCCAGAAGTCTCATGATGGAAAATGCTTTCAGCATCCAGAGAAAGAACTATGGAGTCTGAATGTAGATTGAAGCATACTATTTGCTCTTTTTTTTCCTTCTGTTTTGTTTTGTTTCTTCTTTCTTGTGGTTCCTCCTATTGGTAATAATTCTTCTTTACAACATGACTATTGTGAAAATATGTTTAATAGGAATGTATATGTAGAGCCTATATCAGATTATACACCATCTTGAGGAGGTAGGTAGAGAGGAAGAGGGAGAAAATTTAAAATTCAAAAGCTTATGGAAACAAATGTTAAAAATTTAAAATAATAATTAATTAATTAAGAAAATAAAAATAAAAGTCTACCCAGCTTCCTAACCCTAAAAAAAAAGAAAGAAAATTAGTTTAATTAGAATATTTGTCCACCAATAATACTGGGAAAATGAGGCATTACTGTGTCATAATTTTCTGAGGTTTATAAAATGAGAATCTACATCTAAATCATAGCAGATTTTATCTTGAGGAGTCTTACTTGCTGAAATGTTTCTCATGACTAAATAATAATGAAGTCAAGATATGGCTATCAGAAACCTAGACTCTGTTTCACAATTTGTTTTCAGTCTCTTATCCACCACTCCAACTTACATAACTATGTTGTAGGCAGCATACCTTCTCTAGATACCCTAAAAACTCTAGATACGCAAGCTGTAACAGTTTCTAATTGGGAATTTTTCTTACTTCTCACAAGTGTAAGACAGCTTATGAAAAAAAAAAGCCATTCTACAAGATTTAATTTTACATGGAAATTTGCAATCTACGTGGGAGAAAAACAAATCCTAATCTTTGATCACAGTGATTGATTAAAAAAACCATCTACCATCTTTCTTTACCCACCCTCTTTAATTTTTTAAAAGTTTTATTTTTCTGTTGCTAAGTTGATTCTCTTATTGATATTCTTTTTGTCTTACAATCTGTTTATTTCTAAATATGTTCTCCTTTCCTACCCAGTAAGCCTTCTCTTGTGCCAAAGATTTTTTAAAAAAGAAAAAAGAAAAAAACAATTCACCAAAACCAGAATGTTGCTGTTTCTCCTTTGTTCTTGAAGAGGACCAATGATGTCACTAGGGTGATGTTTTGACTTGAAAGTGAATTGGAACAACCAGTGCATTAAAGCACACATCACATTCCCTGCCAGTGGTCCCTTGACTTTCCATTGATAGAAGGGAGAAGCATTTTCTCAACTCTTCCCTGAGGCCAGCCTCGGTCATTATAATTATGCAGCATTCCATTTCTGTTTATTATTGTTAACATTTACATTGTTATAGTCATTATATATGTCGTTTTCCTACTGCTGCTTATTTTATTTTGTATCAGCTCATAGAATTCTCCCTATACTTCTCTGAATTCTTTATAGTCATCATTTCTTATGGGATATTAATACTCCATTACAGTGACATCATAATTTGTTTAGCCATTCTCCTAATAAACAATCAATTTTGCTACTTGAAGTTATCTGTAGAACAGGCTTTTTAGTGTCACAGACCCCTTTGGCAGTCTGGTAAAGCTACTGGGTCCCTTCTCAAAATAATGTCATAAATGCATAAAGTAAAATACATAGGATTCAAAAAGAAGCCAGTTATGTTGGAATACAGTCATGAAAGACAGTTATCATTTTTTTTTTAAATTCATGGACTCCAGGTTAAAAACTCCAGCTCTGAAATATATCCACCGTAATTGGGGAGATAGAACTTCTGCACATTCTGCAGGCAGTATTTCAGGTAGTCAGCTCTTTCCTCGCTGAAAATATATCTCTCATATGTGCTGAACGTCTTCCTCTGTCTCTCACGAGAAAGAAACTAAGAAGCTCTTGTGAAATTTACAGATGTACACCATGCTACCTGACCGTGCAAACCTAACCCATTGTAGGCAGTACATAGAATCCCTCCCGGATTTTGAACTGCCCGAGGTCCTTGGAATGCACCAACAGACTTCAAGGATTTATCAGGAATCCCTGGCCCAAGACCTTATTGACACAATCATTGCTATGCAGCCAAGAATTGCTATTGCCAACATAATCACTGGGTAAGAGTTTCTGAGAAACAAAAGCTTTTCTTTAAGCGCAAAAATGTTACGTAAAGCAATTGACTCTACTTGGCATCCTGCTTTTGACATTTTGGTTAGTTGAGTCATTATCCATAACATTTTCCAGAGCAACACATGACTAGAAAAAAAGGTGGGCCCATCCTATAGTGCGAGAGGGGAACCAGCGGAATCTGTGCTTCTTGAGTGCTTCCCTGATGTTAAGACAGGCCCCAGACATTTGAGATAGAACCCTTCCCTGTAGAGGATTTCTAAGGAGATACAGTAAAGTGCCTGGTACATAGTAGGTACTTAATAAATGCTTATTTGACTGGCTATATGAGTCACATAGGATTAGAAAGCATGAATAGGTATCAGTTGGTATGTTTGGGGGAAGTACTGATATTTTTACCAGGACACAGATCCATTGGAGAATAAGAAGTGATTAAACAATAAGTGGGGGCAGGGGGAGGGCTGGAAGGAGCGATAACAGTAACCAGGGAGCTAGGTGGTGTAGTGGACAGAGCACCAGACTTGGAGCCAGGAGGACCTGAGTGCAAATCCTCTCTCAAATGCTTATTAACTGTATGACCCTGGCCAAGTCACTCAACCTCTCTAGGCCTCAGTTTCCTCATCTGTAAAGTGGAAATAATAATAGTGCTTATCTCCCAGGCTTGTTGTGAGAGTCAGATGAGATTATACATGTAAAGCATTTTGCAAACTTGTAATAACAATAATAGTAATAGCTAACATTTATATAGTATTCACTATATGTCAGACAATTCTGCAAAGCACTTTGTAATTATTATTTCGTTTGATCTTCACAACTGCTCTGGGAAGTCCATTGTTATTTGGTTGATCAGTCATGTCTGACTCTTCATGACCCCATTATGGAGTTTTCTTGGCAAAGATACTGGAGTGGTTTGTCATTCCCTTCGCCAACTCATTTTACAGATGAGGAAACTGAGGCAAACAGGGTTAAGTGACTTGCCCAGGATCACACAGCTAGCAAGTGTCTGAGGTCACATTTGAACTCAGATCTTCTTGACTCTGAGCCCATAATCCTATCCATTTCACCACCTAGTTGCCCCCATGTATAGAGTTTGCAAAAAAGTACTCTCTATGCTGTCAAAGAACTTAAATCCTAAAATGGTATGCAATCATTCCTAACATAAAATTGCCTTAGCCAATATTATCTCCCATTTTGACAAACATATTAAAGCTAAGCCACTTTGTAATATGTTCAGCCAGTCAACTGCCTGGGATTCAAATCAGACAGTCAGTGACAATCTGGGCTAATAGTACTTGAAGCTGAGCTGAATTAACTCTACCAATATTAGTCTATTTACCAATTTATCCGTAAGATTTTTCCTGTGAACTACCCTCATCAAAGTGTTTCACTCTTGAGCAAGAGGTGTATATTTGAAGGGAGGGAAAGAGGAGGTGCAGCACACCCTGGGAAGAACATTACCATTGACTAGGAAAGCATTAATGTTAATATTTAACCTCCACTGTGCCACCTGCACTTTATGCATATGCATGCCTATGGTTTTACCTGATGTGATTTTTGTGGAAGCAAGTATTCAATTCGATCAAGTCAACAAGCATGTATTAAGTGCCTACTAAGTGCTGAGAATACAAAGACAAAATGAAATAGTCCCTGCCCTCAAGGAGCTTGTATTCTCTTGGGGAAAACATGTTTATGCATAAGTAAATATATAGAAATATACAAAGTAATTTCTTTGTGGAAGGTGTGGGCTAATATGAAGTGCAGCTTGTTAACAATAGAACAGGAACTCCAGAGGGCACAATGAAAGGGTGGAAAAGAATGAGATAGGGACATGGATGCATATGAGAGAGCACTTTTCCATAATTGCACTGGGGTAAAAAGTCTTTCAATCCAAAAGCATTCCATCCTTCTGAATCTCTTTAGGGAAGCTGCCTTTTGCTATTTGCCTCCAGAAAGGACCTGAATAAAGGTGCCTTCTGATCTACACTAGCATATGACTCCTATAATTCCCAGAACTTACTTTGCAGGAGTAGAAAGAGCCAAGACGAACTGGTGCTGGAACTGTCATCTGAAATGATCAAGCGATTGCCTCTGACTGTAGAGAAGGAACCAGTGGTTACTGAAACCAAAGATGTCATTCCAACTACACTATTAACCATTATCTCAAGTTCCATTTGGGTTAGACTTAATAGAAATGTCCAAGATGAGAACTGTAGTTCATACTCTGGGGAAAATAATGCTCACAAGGGGGAAAAAAAACTGTGTAAAGTAGCATAGTTTTTTATCCTTAGGTTCTCTTTCCTTTTTTTTTTCCTTCTTTTCTTCCCTTTCTTTCCTACATCCTTTCTTCTTCCTTTTTCTTTCTTCTTCCCTCCCTTTCTTCTTCCCTCCTTTCCTTCTTTCCCTCCTTCCTTTCTTTCCTTCTCTCTTTCTTTCCTCCTTCCTTTATTTCTTTTTCCCTCTTTCTTTCTTTCTTGGATCAGACCTGTGATTTCATGGTGAAGTACTTCCTCTACTAATGCAGATCAACACCTTCTCTGTAACTTATAATCTTAAAGATCCTCCTGGAGCAGTGGAGGTTCAATTCCTTGCCCATTTTACAGTCTGTTAAATCGCCCAACTAGTGTATATTAGAGGGAGAACGTGAACCCAGACCTTCCTGACTTGGAGGTTAATTCTCTAAAGTTAGTCTGCATATTGTATGGGGTTAAGTGACTTGCCCAGGGGCACACAGCTAGTAAGTGTTATGTGTCTGAGGCCAGATATGAACTCAGGTCTTCCTGAATCCAGGGCTGGTGCTCTATCCACTGTGCCACCTAGCTGCCCCTAAAATCCAGCTCTTAAAACAATGAGGGCTTGTGCAACTTTAAAGTACTGACTAGTCAGGCTTTATAACTGCGTGGGAGAATTAAAGAACAATATCTTCATGCCCTTTATACTATATGCAAGACTCTGACCCATGAGTAGGTCAACAAACATTCAACAGAATTTTCCTCTACTGGCTATTTTGTTTTTATACATATTTCTGCACCTCAGTTTTTCTGTCCTCTGAAAATCTGAAAAGCATACCCTTTATGACTTCATCCAAAGCACTGATAAGAATGCTGGAACAGTTCAATCTCCTTTAAATGGCATTCAAAGCCCTCCACAAACTGAAACCACCGGATTTTTCAAGCTTATCTCATATTTATCTCTTTCTTCCTCCCTCCTCCTCCCCTGTTGCCAAACATACACTGTGCTCTGGCCAAACAGGAATATTCTCTGTTCCCTGAATGTATTTCTGCACTTCCCCCTCTCTTTGCCCTGGCTTATTCTACTCTAGACTGTCTATTCCCCTTCATCTATTGAATTCCTACCCATATGCCAAAACCCAACTCAAATTTATTCCACACAGCCTTCCCTGTTCCTCTCCAAGTTAATAATGTTCTTCCCCTCTAACTTTACATAGTACCTTGTTTTGTGACAATGCGGCCTAAGTTACCTGCGTGTATGTCTTATACCCTCCCAGGATGCAAACTGGTCAAAGTATATAAGCAGGTTGAAGAAGAAAGGAAAATGATGAACAATCACATGACAAAAATGCTCCAAATCACTAATAATTAGAGAAATACAAACTGAAACAATTCTGAGATTTCACCTCATACCTAACAGATTGGCAAAGATGATTAAAAAGCAAGGAGAAACAGGCTCTGTTGTTGGGACTGTGGGAAGAGAGGCATGCTATTAGCACATCTGTTAGAGCTATGAACTGGTCCCCCTCCTCTGGAAAAAAAAAAGTTTGGAACTAATTGGGAAAAGTCATTAAATTGTTTGGCCCAGAAATCCCACTGCTGGACATGCAGGATCTTAAGCAGCTCAAATACGGAAAGAAACATCCTGCATATAACAAAATATCCATACGCATATTCTTTGTGGTAGCAAAAAAAAAAAAAGAATGAAAGCAAAATACATGGTCATCAGTTGAGGTATGTATGGCTGACTAAATTGTCATACATGACTAAAATGGAATATTATTGTGCTGCAAAAAAAGGATAAATATGAAAAATCTAGAGATACTAGGGATGATTTATATGAACTGATGCAGAAGGAAGGAAGCAAAATCAGGAGAAAAACTTACACATTCGCCATCATAATGTGGAGGAAAACAATACTGAGAGACACCTGAACTCTAAACAATGAAGTCACTGCTCTTGACTTTTGAGAACTGATCACGAAATAGGCATCCTTGCTCTCAGCAGAGAGCTGTTAGGACCAGAATCAATTTTGACACAGCTAAAGGAGTTTCTCTTAACTCTGTCTCTTTGTTTAAAAGGGAAGGTTCTTTGGCAGTGGGAAGAAGGGGTACTCATAGGAAAGTGACAGCAATGTTTAAAAGCATCAGTAAAATTGTTTTAAGACCACTACAGGGAATTATCAGAGTTGCTGCTCCTCTTTTGCAGTCCCCCAACCCCCCTCCCCCCATACAGACCTAAAACTTCCCTCAGGCTTTCCAATGACCTGCTGCCTTCAGAAGTAAATAAAGCCACAAAACTCAGTTTACCTAGTATGGAACAAACACTGAAGTCATAAGATTTGAATTCTTGTGTCAATTTCACAAGTTAGTGTGCCTTAAGGAGATAACTTAAAAATCTTTGCCCTCAGGTCTCCAATTTGTGAAGTGATCAGTCAGTTAATAAGGGGAAGAGAAGGGAATAAGCATTCATACAGCACCTGCTGTGTGCCAGACACTGTGCTGCTGTGCTTTACAATTATCATCTCATTTGACCTTCACAGCAACCCTGTAAAGGAGGTACTGTTATTATCCTCGTTTTATAGTTGAGGAAACTGAGGCAGACAAAGGTTCCCCACAGCTAGTGTCTGAGGCTGCATTTGAATTCAGGTCATTCTGATTTCAGGTTCAGTGTTCCAGGACAACCGCACCCCTTAGCTACATGTCAGGCACTGTCCTAAGCACTAGGGATATAAAAAGAAGCCAATGACACCCCTTGCCCTCAAGGAACTTACAATCTAATGGGGCAGATAACAAGCAAACAAATAGGTACAAACAAGTGACATACAGGATAAACAGAAGATAATTAAAGAGGGAAGGCACTAGAATTAAGAAAGGTGGGGACAGGCGTCCTGTAGAAGGTGGAATTTTAGCTGAGACTTAGAGGGAGCCAGAGAAGCCAAGAAGTGGAGATGAAGAGGGAGAAAGTTCCCGGCTGGGTAGACAGTCAGAAAAAAAATGTCCAGAGTGGAGGGATGAAGTATCTTATTCATGGAACAGCCAGACAGTCAGTGTCACTGGATCTAAGAGTACATGGCAAGGCATAATATGTAAAAATACTGGAAAGGTCAGAGGGGTATAAATTACAAAGAGTTTTGAACACCAAAAAGAGGATTTTGTGTTTGATCCTGGAGGCAATAGGGAGCAACCAGAGTTTATTTAGTAGAGGCAGTGACATGGTCTTCAAGAAAATCACTTTGGCAGAAGAATAGAGGATGTATTGGAATAGGGAGAGACTTAAGACAGGCCAACCCTGCAGGCTATTACAGTAGTCCAAGGGTGAGATGATAAGGGCCTGTAGCAGGGTAGTGGCCTTGTCAGAAGAGAGAAGGGGGCATTTCGAGAGATGTTGCAAAGTTGACATTGATAGGCCTTGGCAATAAATAGGATATGGGGGCTTGGAGATAGTAAGGATTCAAAGAGGACACTTGGTTGTGGGGCAGGAGGGCTAGGAGGATGGTGGTATCCTCAAGAGTAATAGGAAAGTCTGGAGATAGAGATTTAGGAGGAAAGATGCTGAATTTAGTTTTGGACATGTTGAGTTTAAGATGTCTACTGAACATTCATTTCAAGATGTCTAAAAGGTAGTTGAAGATATGAGATTGGAGGTCAGCAGAGAGGCTATGGTGGGATTTGAGAATCATCATCATAGAGATGATAATCCATGGGATCTCATGAGTTTATCAAGTGAAGATATATAGAGGGAGAAGAGAAGAGAGCCCAAAACAGAGCCCTGTGGGACACCTATGGTTAAAGAACGTGACCTGGATGTCAGTCCAGCAAAAGTGACTAAACTGAAGCAGTCTGATAAGTAGAAGAACCAAGAGAGTGGTGTTCCAAAAACCTAGAAAGAAGAGGGTGATCAGCCACGTCAGAGGCTTCAGAGAGGTCAAGACGAATGAAGATTGAGAAAAGGCTATTGGCTTTGGCAGTGAAGAGATCATGGGTAACTTTGGAGAGAGCTGTTTTGGTGGAATGAGAAGAGAGAAAGTAGATAAAAGGTTTGCAGGCAGTCTCTTCAAGGAATCTGGCCACACAGCAGCAGAACTAAAGGACAAATGCAAGAATAGAAAGATCAGGCAAGGGGTTTTTAAGGATGAAGAAGACATGGGCATGTTTGACGGCAATAGAGGAGGATCCAGTAGCTAGGGAGAGATCGAAGATAAGCAATAGAGTGGGGATGACAGAGGAGGCCATATGTGGGAGGAGACAGGAAGGAATGAGATCTCTTGTTCAGGTAGAGGGGCTAGCCTTGGTGAGGAGCTAGGTCACCTCTTCCTACGAGTCAGAGGTGAAGGAGGAGATAGCAGCAGCAGGCATCTGAGTGATGTGAGATGAAGAACAAGAGAGAAGAAGAAGTGATTGGCCTCAACTTTTTCTGTGAAATATGAAGCAAGGTTCTCAGCTAAAAGGGTGAGGGGAGGGGGAACAGTGGAAGGTCTGAGAAGGGATGAAAAGGTTTGGAACAAACTGCTGGGGAGGCAAGTTCTTAAGGTAGATGTAGAAGGATTACCTAGTAATAATGAGGGCCCAGCTCAAGTTGTGTAACATAATTTGGTGGACCCAATCAGAACAGCTATGAAATTTTCTCCACCTTCATTTAGCGGTACATATATAGAAATTAAGGCAATGAATTGTAGGAATAATCTGAGGCTGAGGTTGTCAGGCCATGATCAAAGATATGATAAGGGGGTCATAGACTCAAGAGTATAATGTAGATTTGAACTAGTTCACCAAGGGGTCAAGATGGAGAAGACAGGAAAGTGTGGCTGGTCCAGGGTTGATGGCCTCAGAGAGAATTGAAGGGTCAAGGAATTGAAGGTTATAGTGTGAGGAAAGAGTAGGGTTTGGCATATATAGAACTAAGTCAAATTTATATAAAAATAAGAACCCTTCCCCAGTTGATAAATTATCAAATGATACGAACAGTTTTCAGATGAAGTAATCAAAACCATCTATAGCCATATTAAAAAATGCTCTAATTCACCAATGATTGGAGAAATGTAAATTAAAACAATTCTGAGGTACTACCTCATACCTATTAGATTAGCTATAGGACAGAAAAGGAAAATGACAAATGGTGGAGGGGATGTGGGAAAATGGGGCATTAATGCACTAGTGGTGGAGTTGTGAGCTGATTCAACCGTTCTGTAGAACAATTAGGAACTGCCCAAAAGGCTATAAAACCTTGCATACCTTTGACCTAGCAATGCCACTACTAGGTCTGTATCCAAAAAGAGATAAAATAAAACAAGAATGAAAAGGACCCATATGTATAAAAATATAACAACTCTTTTCTGGGGACAAAGAATTGGAAATTGAGGGGATGTCCATTAATTGAGGAATGACTGAACAAGTTGTGGTGTGTGATTGTGATGGAATACTATTGTGCTATGGGAAATGATAAGCGAGATGCTCTTGGAAAAGCCTGGAGAGACTTACACGAGCTGATACAAAGTGAAATGTACTGTGTGCAAAGTAACAGCAATATTTTAAGATGATCAACTGTGAATGTCTTAGCTGTTCTCAGCAATACAATGATCCAAGACAACTCTGAAGGACTCATGATGAACAATGCTATCCATCCCCAGACAAAGAACTGAAGGTGTCTGAATATAGATTGAAGCATTTTTTTAAAAAAAGTAGGATTTGGTAAGGGAAGGCAGAGGGAGAGGTAGAAAGCCAAGTGTTTATGATCAGGTAAAGAGATTTGGGAATCTTGAACATAGAGGTGATGCATTTGCAGGTAATGGCAAAATCAAGGTGATGACCATCTTTGTATGTGGCTGAGGCGGGGTAGAAGAGAAGGTCACAGGAACTGAGTAGTTTGAGGAACTGAGTAGTTAAGGTGTTAAAAATCCAATATGAATAAGAACGCAAAGAAGAGAGGTCAGCTTACAGTAGCCCCTCATTGCAGCATAGCTTGGTGCTTTAATTATAGATGTGGACACAGCTTTGGCAACATCAATCTCCTAAAGAGCACAGTTATTCTCTAACATAAGAACAGGTCCTGTCCCTTGATGTCACTTCAAATTTCAAAGCACTATGTAAATATAAGGAGAGCCCAAGTAGTTGAATGGTATGCAAGCCGATTGTAGAATCCAAAAACTTAGTCCTCTCTCTTCTATTTGTTAGTTGTATGTTTGTGGACAAGTCACTACACTTCTTTGAAACTCAATTTCCTCCTCTATAAAATGAAGCTAATAATGTTCACCTTACATACTTTACAGGACTGTTCTGAGGAAATCGTATCACAAACTGTTACGTATCTATGAGCTATTATTACTGTTGCTTTTCTGTCTACCACCTGAGTGTTTTCAACGTCATGTTCCTGTAACTACTATCTTCAACTAATTTGAACATAGAGTCAGGGGTCACATTATCTTGGCCACTAGGCTGTGATAAATTCTCCATTTAAATGTTCAGCCATACTGCTGCTCATAGTGACTTGTCTCTCATTTAAATACTGTTTAAGATTCATTAGAAACACTTACCTTGATCAGCTTAGTCAGATTGCATCAGCTTCAAACCCCACTCTGTCTGCAGCCTCTTTCCTTCTCCCTCAGATATTATATCATTGCCTCCTCTTTTTTTTAAATCAGATTATGATCCCCTCCTCCATTCTGCCTTGTTAACATTCCTTTGTCAAGAAATTAGTCGATTTGATAAGTTACTAGCCCTAATCCACCAGTCACTGAAAGAACTCCAGGGAGCTGTCAGAGGTGAAACCACCATCAACCAGAAACTGGAAGAGATCTATGATTGTCTCATTAATAACAAAGTACCTGACTTATGGCAGGTAAGGGGCACATAGTTTTCAATTTAGAACTTTGCTTCAAAGATACATAAATGAAATCAGTGTTCTTTGGCAGGTCAATGCTTGACTTTTAATCAACAAATTGACCTTTCTGTGAAATCAAGTTTGTGCCAACTCTGGAAAGATGCTTAATATCATTAGGATAGGCCTTGTGTCATGCAATGATATCTTCTTTTAAGTAAATATTTCATTAACATTAAAATCAATACAGCTAGGCTTGCTCAATAACAATTTATTTTAAATTACATACTAACCAATCAGTTAAAACACTTTTTCAGTCCTTCCCCTTAGTCTTCATCAGTATACTTTTGGACACATTATTATTCTCATCAGTGACTTGGATCAAATACTACCTAGTGTGCTCCAAACCAGATTAAAATGTAATTTGAAAATATTTAACAAAAAAAAATACGAGGGAACATAGGTAATGTTAATGTGTGATTTTCTACATCGACATGCAGCCCACAGGATCCTAATTTATGGTTTAGTGGTCCCCATTTCTATTTGAGTTTGACACTAGTGACTTAAATGATTAAGCAGAGTTCCCTGGATAGCCATAAACACTCACCACTCTTCATAGTAGAGAGTTTCCTTCTTGTTTTAGAGTAAGTGTTAGTGGGATGGGCCAATTATGACTAAAAAGAGACTAGGAAAACTGTAGTTGACATCCAGTCTCCTGAAGGGAAAAGTTATTTCTAACAAGGTAAAAAGCAATTATAGCATCTTATTGGAGTCAGCAAGGCAAGGGAGCAGTGGACGTTCTCAGAAAAAGCTTTGCAACTTTGGCCAAGTCCCTTCACCTCTCCAGACTCCAGTCTCCTCATCTGTAAAATGAGGGGTTGAACTTGGTGATGGCTAAGGTTCTCTTCCAGCTCTAACATTCTATGACTCTGTGAGTGTGGTGAGAAGAAGCTGCCAAGCCCAAAGTGGACTCACAGTCAGAGGACCTCTGACACCTACTAGTATTATAAACCTGGGCAAAGTTACTTCTCTAAACTTGCCTATAAAATACAAACAATAATAAAACCTAACACCATCAGCTGGGTTAGGTCTACTGTATTTATTGAATTATCAGAGGGGTGAGGGTAAAGAGCAGAGGAAGAATCTAAGCAATCTCTGTTTGTAATCAATGATGCCAGTTAGGTTCAGTCCAGGGGTGGGCCCTGCTCCAGAATCCCATGGGCTTAGGCAGACAACTCAGCTTATCATGGGCCACCCTGCCTGGCCCAGACATCTTCATAGCTGCCTCAATAAGCAGTTCAGAGGCCAAAAGGGTCATGGGTTACTAGGCAGCCCTCTCCATCCTAAACCCTCTCTATCTACTATCCATTTAACTAACTCCCTTTTTCAGATAAGTCAGAGGAGAGGAGTACACTGGGTTTTTTTTTGTTATTCAGTCATTTCAGTCACATTTGACTCTTTGTAACCCCTGGCAAAGATGTTGGAGTCATTTGCCATTTCCTTCTCTAGCTCATTTTACAGATGAGGAACTGAAACAGAGTTAAGTGACTTGCCCAAGGTCACACAACTAGTAAGTGCCTGAGGATGAATTTGAACTCAGATCTTCCTGGCTCCTCATTTGGAAAATGGCTTCTTCCTGCAGTGGTTTCTCCCTGTCTGACCCTAGAGTCCATTATTAGAATTTGCAATGAAATAGTGATCTTAGAAGTCATTCTTTAAAAAAAAAAATCTGATGTATCTGTCTCTCAATCCCAACAGCGAGCTTCTTATGATACTGGAAAGGTGTTGTCTGCCTGGATCACCTTTCTCCTCCAACGACTGGCATTCATCGACAGCTGGGCAAAACTGGCCTACGACGCTATATATTTTCGGTACGGGCCGCAGATTAGCTGGAAAGTACTTGTTGAAACGCACATCTCTGGTATCTAAATTTTTTTCAAATCTAGGCTAATGCCAATTTAAAGGAATGGAGACCTCTATTTTGAGCAGGCATTCAGTAAGCATTGTGGTCCTCCACCAGGAAAGTAAGGCAGGCATATCTAGCTCACCTTTCTGAATGTCCTTCTCAGCAGCTAAGGGCACTGGAGTATCTTATTACTCAAAACAAGATTTGGCAAGATCCTTAAAGAAAAACTGGAGAAACAAAAGCATTTTTTTAAATGATCCAAACTCTTTCTGAGTGCAGAAACCTAAAATTACAAGTTTATCTACCTTAAAACTTTCCAAAAGTCAAAAGAGTATAATATAGACTTCTATAATAAAAATAGCTGTATTAATAAAAGTATAACCTAATAATTGCAGCATATCTCTTTATTAGGGTTAGTGACTGGTCCTATGTGTTTATTCTTAAAGGGAACTCCCAGGTAAGGAGACTCTCTGCACTGATGCCCCTTGAAACCTTTTCTATTACTTTTAGTCTTAGAAGGTCGACAAGCACACAGAGCTAAAGTGATTTGGCATCATACAGCCAGTATTTATCATAGATGGTCCTTAGACCCAGGTCTTCCTGGCTCCAAGACCAATTCCCTATTCATTATGCCACACTGCTTGTCATATACCTTTTTTATTTTTATTTAATTTTTAATTTCATTTCATTACCTTTTTTTAATTTTTAAAATTTTTGTTTAATTTTTAATTTGATTTTAATTTTTACATTTTGTTTTAGTGTATTGTTTCTACATCACCTAGAATTTCCCCTGTATGCCTGCCCTGCCTCCCTCCAAGACAGCCATCCTTTTTAACAAAAAATTTTTAAAATATATGTATGTAGAAGATGTTATAAATAAGTGATATAAAGATAATATAAAACAAAAAGATATAAAGATGTTACTTTTTAAATGACAAAAAGTAGGTAACATTTATATAGCACTTTAAGGTTTTATGACAGGTGAAAGATGAAATGACTGAGGAAACAAAGGTTTGAGCTTCCAAGAACATCAATTTATTAAGCAATTTATGCCAATTGCCTAACAAATTGGGACCAGACTCCAATACAAGGGGAGACCGATTTTTATGCATTAAAAACAATTAACCAAATAAGACCAATTAATTAAAAGAAAACAATTAACCAGGATACAAAATTAGGCAATCTGATTTCTAATTGGAGGAAAGATTAGGGACTTCCTGAGTTGGAAAGGGGGAGCAAACAGGTACAATTCCCTGAAAAGAGGTGTCCCACCCCCCCACCCCCAAAGTGTCTGTATTCCCTCAAAGGAAAATGGAAACAATAACTGATTGACCAGTATTGGGGATATTGCTTCTCATCAGGGGGTGGACACCTATGTGACAATAACTGATTGACCAGTACTGGGGATATTGCTTCTCATGACGGGGGGGGGGGGGGGGGGGGGGGGGGGAGTGGACGCCTATGTGACAACATTGGAGTCAGTTTAAACTGTGAGGGAATGTGGGAAGTGCTAATTTTCACTTCCACAACAATGCAATCTAAGGGCTAGGTGGAAGTTGAACAAAGGAAGCCATAAAGTAGAATTGGTGGGTGAATAGACTAACCAGAGAATACCAGTTCTGAGATTAGGTTTCCGCATCCTAAGCAAAAGAGGTGTGAGCATATCCAAATAAGGGCAAAAGTAAATAAGGGCCAGGTCGCCAAACTGTGGGGAGTGGGAGATGTAAACGGGCAGAGACTCATGTAGGGAAATTAGGCGCTTCAGATAGGCTGTAACCTCTATAGTACCCAGCCAGTGGGGAAACAGAAGAGGGAAATTCTGATCAGCAATAGGGAATAAAAATGTGTGTATCTGTACACATGTGGGACTCCCAGCCTTCCCAGGCCATTAATAAAGCTTCTTCCTGGTTCAACAGTGGCTTTGTGGAATTTGTGGTAAAGCTAACAGTATGGATCCAGTTTTCAGATAAGACACATGGGTTGTTTGAGATGTACAATTGTGAAAAAACTCTTTGTATTAGTCTTTGCATCTGGCTGGGTTTCTGGTCAGCATAACCGAGTTCCTTAGTTAAGGGTCTCTAATCAGCACATAGAGGGCTAGGTTCAAACAATGCAATAAAGTTTTCTCACAATTCCCACAACTGAATAAAGTTTTCTCACAAGACAGAAGTTGGACTAGAGTCATAATTGAATAGAAAGGGAACTGAGCTAGCTCCAGAATTGAGTCACAAAATGGAGTCAGTGTGGTTCACCCAATTCCCACAACCTCTAGCTGTTTTAAATTCCCACAGTTTGCATTAACACAATTAAACAGAAGTGTGGTTGTGAGGCAGTCTGGGATTATGCAAAATTTCTGCATATGAGTTTGAAACCCGCCTCAATTGCTTACTAGTCCCTGAGCAAATCACTTAACTTCTCTGCTCCTCACTTTCCTCAGCTATAAAACAGGGAGAATAATAGCACCTACCTTACAGAATTGTTGTGGTGATCAATTGAGCGACCATGTAAGGGGGCTTTACCAGCCTTAAAGCCCTATGTAAATGTTAGCTATCGTGGTAGTTGTGGTTGTTATTATTATTAGAATTGAGTGAATATGGGAAGGATAATGCTTAGAGACCCCAGCTGAGTTACTAGGATGTGAGAAGAAAAGGAACTGGAGGAGATGATAAATATCGTCTCCACTCTAGTGCCACTGTTGTCCAGATACAATAATAGAGACCAGAAGTGAATCCAAGGTACCTTTGTGCCTGGTTTCTGAGAGTAATTTGAGTCCTCTTCTTTTGGATATTTTTAGATTAATCCCGCTTCCTCCGGGTCAGACCAGCCAAGCAAGTTCGTGGACCTAATAGGACCTAAAAGTTTGATTTGTATGCCCTTTGGTCTGTGTTTCTCTGTAACAGCATATAAACACTGTGTGCCTTTAGGATACAATGACTCTGGTATCGGCCCACTAGTCGAGCAACAACTATTCATTTACTAAGCACTTACTACGTGCCAAGCTAAATACTGAAATTACAAAGGAAAAGCATATATGTATGTATGTGTAAGCAGATGTATATAAGATACATACAGAGAAGAGGTAACTTTGGAAAGAAGGCACCAGTAACCGGGAGAACTGAGAAAAGCCTCCTGCAAAAAGTGACACTTGAGCCTAATAAGTCAGGGTAATTCTTTAGAAATATTGCTCCTTTGCAAGCTTTCTGGCATTGTAAGTTCATCCTCCTATTCTCAAATTCACCTGGAGTGAAAGTGGTTTATAACCACCCCGATTCAAGTTGCAAATATTCAAACTCTTCTAAACCCAACGTAATGGTCACTACCTAAATCCCCCTCTACAGATTGAAACCCCAACAAAGAAAGTCCCCAGAGGCAGAGACAGAGAAGGCTACTGAGAAGGTTTTGTAGTGGATTCATGCACAGAAAATTCTCTTCACAACCCCTTTTTTTCATAAGTTTCAGAGTTGTCGATGGTTTGCCTCTCTGAAGGTGAAGGATAGGAAGTCTGGATTGTATTAGATACTAAAATAAAAGGGAAAAGAATCACGAAAAGCTTGGAAAGATTTGGAAGAATTAAAGAAGCATTTATTAAGCATTTTCTATGTGTCATACAATGTGTGCTAAGTGCTAGGAATAACGAGACAAAAATGAAATAATCCCTTCCCTCAGGATGTTTATGTTCTAATAGGAAAGGATTCTGTTTAGGACCTCTCTAGTGCACTTACCATGTACTGTTTTGTCTCATACTTATCTGTGTTTGCATCATGCTCTCCTACTTTTCTGTTAAGCTCCATAAGAACAGAGACGAGGCGTTACCTAAACTCCCCAACACCTACCAGTATATACATAGTGCAAATAGTATCTTTCCACCATTGGCTGAATAAAAATTCAGTTGGGATCTTATAAATTAAGAAAGGTATTATGGCATCAGCCATCTCAAAGCCTTTTCTATGTCTACTTTCAGATATACCAAAATGACTACAGTTTGGAAGCATTACTTTCCAACTCAAAGAAAAAAATATGAAGAGAAAGATAGTGAAAAAGAGGCAGATCCTGCTAACTCCTTTCCCACCCGAATTCTGGCTTCCAACTTTCTTCTTCCCACAAGGTAGGAACCTGGGGCTTGACCTTGGTGAAACTGTCAAGGTCTTGGGTGCCCTTACACCTCTTTTGGCACCCAATTTCTCCCTCATCTAGATTCCCTATCTAAGCCTGTCCTCTTCTGATCCTCACTCACTTACCCCCACCATTCTCCAAACAACTCCTTACCACCTCACCTCTACTTTTTCTTTCAAACCAACCTAATATTCTAATCACCTTATCACTTCACCTTTCTACTTTTTCTTTCAAACCAACCTAATATCCTAATCTTTCTGGGACTCTCTACACTGGTTTGCATCCAATCATTCATGTTCATGGATTTTTTGCTGATAATGGTTTCTTGGACTATTCTACCCAAGAGTAATTTCATTTTAAAAGGAGAATCCTGGAGGTCCAGTCCCTAAACCCAATGAATGAGTTTCTAATGGCAAGGGATTAGGAGCCTAACTAGGTCATTGTGACATTGGCTTTGTCTCTGAGCAAGAATCTTCCTGAAGGGTGAAAAAAAAAAACTATCCCAAAAGCAGGAATTTCAAGAATAGCTGACAGTACTTCTACTCCTCTAAAGAAGGCAGCAGGAGAAGAGCTGCATCTAGACAATAACAGCATGTTGAGAGTGGGCATGGAAAGTAGGCTCCCCAGGAGTGCTGGTAGTAGCTTGAAAGATTCTCTAAAAGAGGACTGACCATGGTCCCCAGGGTCCAAAAGCAGGAAGATGACTTGGAAGAAAGAGGATTGTCAGTAGGACTGTCAGCATTCCCACTCTGTCCCTCTACCAGGGTCTGGGGAAGCTAGAAGTGAATCTCAAATCTCTGGCTGCCTTTAAATTCAGCCCAAGCCCCACTTTCTTCATGAGGCCTGTCTTGGTCCCCCAAGCTTCTAGCACATCTCTGTATGCTAGGTTGCCTTGTATCTGTTTTATATATACACCTATGCATGTGCATGTTGTTTCCACATTAAAACATAAGCTCCTTGAGGGCAAGAAGTGTTTTGGTTTTGTCTTTGTTTCCCTAGAGTTTATAGCACAGTGCCTGTCATATAATAGGTGCCTAATAAGTGCATACACATGCTTAGAGGCAGCTAGTGGCACAGCATGTAGAGTGTTGGCCTTGGATCAGGAAGACGAGTTCAAATGTAGTCTCACACACTTACTAGCTGTGCGACTCTGGTAAAGTACTTTAACTTCTGTTTGCTTCAGTTTCTTCAACTGTAAAATGGGAATAATAAAGCACCTACCTACCAGGGTTGTTGCGAGGATAGAATGAGATAATATTTGAAATGCTTACGCCCTTCTCTTCTACTTGACTTGCATTTGAAGCTACCCCAAATGATCCACAGTACTAAGATCCTTTCCTCTACCCATGATGCCAGTGTCCTGGGGTCTTTGCCTCTCCCACAATCATCTGAGGAAGTCTTTCCTACCTTTTTCCACAAGTACAAAACTCTGTAGCTATAGCTCTGTCAGAGGCAGAGATATACCATGGCAGATCCGATGGGCCTTTTCAGAGCATTCCTCAAATTATGTCATGTTCATTCATTCATTAATTCAATAAACATTTATTAAGTGCCTACTCTGTGCCAGGCACTGTGTTAAGCCCTGAGTATACAAAAAGAGGCAAAAGACAGTCCTTGCCCTCAAAGAGCTTACAATCTAATGAGGGGGACAACATACAAATAAATACATACAAAGTAAGCTATATACAGGATAGATGGACTTAATTAAAAGGAGGAAAGAATTGGAATTAAAGAGAGTTAGAGAAGGCTTCCCATAGAAGGTGGGATTTTAGTGGGGACTTAAAGGAAGCCAGGGAGGTCAGTGGTCAGAGCAGAGAAGGGAGAGCAGTCCAGATATGGGGAAAGACAGAGAAAACACCTAGATCTAAGAGATGGAAGGTTTTGTTCATAGAACAGGCAGGACGTCAGTGTCTCTGGATGGAAGAGTCGTGTCAGGGACTAAGGTACAAAAAAGACTGGAAAAGTAGGAGGGGACTAGGTTATGAAGGATTTTGAATGCTAAACAGAGTATTTTATGTTTGCTCCTGAAGACAACACGTAGCCACTGGAGTTTATGGAGTAAGGGAGTAACAAGAATAGACTTAAATTTTAGGAAAATCACTTTAGTAATAGAATGGAGAATGAATTAAAGTGGAGAGAGACTTAAGGCAGGTAGGCCCACCAGAAGGCAATTACAATGGTGATGAGGGCCTGTGCCAGAGTAGGGGCAGTGTCAGAGGAGAAAAGGGGGCATATTCGAGAGACATTGCAAAGTCGAAATCGACAAGCCTTGGCAACGGCTTGGATATGAGGAATAAAAGATATGGATGACTTCTAGGTTGTGAGTCTGAGGAACTGGGAGGATGATGTTGACATCTACGGTAATAGGCAAGATTGAGGGGTAGGCTGTGTGACCCTGGGCAAGTCAGTTAACCCCAACTGCCTAAAAAAAAAAAGATTAAGGGGTGGGGTGGGTGGTGAATGGCAGGGAGGGCTTAGGCAGATAGATAATTATTTCTGTTTTGGACATATTGAATCTAAGTTATCTACTGGACATCTAGTTCATGATGTCTGAAAGGCATGTGGAGATCAGCCCTGAGATTGGGGCAGAAAAGGTAGATTTGAGAATCATTAGCATGGAGATGGAAAATACATGCATGGGAGCTGATGAGATCACCAAGTGAAGTGGTATTGAGGAAGAAGAGAAGAGGGCTCAGGACAGAACCCTGAGGAACACCTACAAGAGGGCTTGGTCTGGAAGAGGATCTAGTGAAAGACACAGAGAAAGACTGGTGAGACAGGTAGGAAGAAAACCTAGAGAGAAGACAGTATCAAGGAGGAGGGTGATCAACAAGGTCAAAAGAGTCAGGGTCAGGGAGGTCAAGGAGAATGAGGACTGAGAAAAGGCCACTAGATTTGGCAACTAAGAAATAATAACTTTGGAGAAAGCAGTTTTGTTGGAAGGATAAGGTCAGAAGCAAGACTGTAAGGGGTTAAGATGAGAGTAAAAGGAGAGAAAGTCAGTTATCACAGATAGCCTTTTTGAGGAATTTAGCTACAACGGGCAGAAGAGAAATAGGATGGGTGCTGTAACCCAGGCCCATCCTTGTTAAAATCAATGAGTTTGTGCAATCACAGGAATGACTCCAGTACTAGCTGAAAGCCTGCTCTTTGACACACAGAGAAATCTCACTTCTCTGCTGTTCTTCAAACTACTCATCTTTTATCTTAATCACTTCTGGGCCACTCCACAAGAATTGCTGGGCACTTGCAAAATCAATTATAGACTAACCCAGAATAATTGCTCTTTTTCAGAACGGTGGCAATGAACACCAGAATCCTGGGGCCCTCGGATACCAGCTTTGTGCATAGGCCCCTAGGTAGAGGTTGATGAGCAGAGGTGGGGGGAAAACGCATAAGGAGGAAGAGGGAATAAGCAGGCTGCGGCTTGTTAACCAATGAAACTTCCACAAGAGGAATAGCCGAAAAGGTATTGCTGAGGAAACTGAGAATGAGAGACAATAGAAAGAGATAGCAACTAACCCAAGAGTCTAGGAATCAGAGGATGGCTTTCAGTACATTGAGAAAAATCTCTTTTGGCAGAAGCTCTCAACTTCTGTGTGTCACGAGCAGTCTCGTGAACTCTATGAACACCACTCCTTCATTCATTCATCACTAAAGGCCAACAAGTTATAGTATATGATTATGATGGAATGTTGTTGTGCTATAAAAAATGATGAGCAGGATGGTTTCAGAAAAACCTGAACTGATGCAAAGTGAAGGGAGCAGAACCAAGAGAACACTGTATACAGTAACAGTAATATTGTAACAATGATTAACTGTGAAAGGCTTAGCTACTCTGATCAAGACAATAATTCAAGACAATTTCAAAGGACCCATGATGAAAACCTTATGCACTGATGGACTCTGAGTGCAGAATGAAGCATGCTTTTTCACTTTCTTTTTCTTGGGGTTTGTGTGTGTGTTTTCTTTTGCAACCATGGCTAATAATGGAAATATATTTTGCATAACTTCATATATATAATTGATATCATATTGCTTGCCTTGTCAGCGGCAAGGAGAAGGGCAGAAGGGAGGGAAAAATTTGGAGCTCAAAATTTTTAAAATGAATGTGAAAAATTGTTAAAAAAATATAATTGGAAAATAAATTTTAAAAATTTACAGGAAATGCTAAATTTCACTTGGGGCAGGTGAAAATAAAGCTTTAATTTATTTTTCCCCATTCAAGTTTACCCTGAAATCTATCCATGGAAACCTTGAGGGTCCATGTCCCCCAGATTAAGAACTCTTCCCCTATGGAGAATTTATGATATGACATGGATAAAAATCACATAGCATGATTGAGAAGATGGCATTTATGTGAGCATTCCCTCTTCCAGGATTCTCTACCACAGGGATTTTCTGCATAAATGAGGCCACAGAACCACCAAAATAAAAACAAGAAAGGCAAGTCACAAGGAACTCAACAAACCAGTTCAATAGAACAAGAGCTTCATGAGGACGGGGACTATTTTGCATTTTTCTCTTAATTCTCAGTGACTGGCACAGAGAATTGCCCCTAGCAGGGGACTAATGTGGTTGAATTGAGCATCCAAAGCCAGGCATTCATACAGAATCCTCCTTGCACCCCATATGCCAGTTGTCCTGTCTCTCACCAATCATTTAGAATCGCTAAATATAAAACATATTGTCTTTATTGATTTCAAAGGCGATTGAGTTGTTTTAGGGGGTGGGAGGGTGTATTTGCTGAAAAGATTGATGGAATTTTCACCTGGCACATATTTGTAAGGGCATATAACTTTAAGATTCTGTCATCCTGGAGCATGTTTTGTCTTTTTGTATGTTTGCCAGAGGCAGCTAGATTTCCCAGTGGTTAGCGCATTGGTCCTGGAGTCAGGAAGGCCTGAGTTCAAATCCAGCCTCAGACAACTTACTAGCTTTGTGACCCTGGGCAAGTCACTTCAACTCTGTTTGCCTCAGTTTCCTTAACTGTAAAAGAAATAATATTAACACCTACCTTCCAGGGTGGTTGTAAGGATTTAATGAGATAATATTTATAAAACACTTGGCACAGTACCTGGCACATAGCAGGTGCCATAGAAACGCTAAGCTATTATCATTGTGACCTCAGTGGCTCTCTTCTGCTGCATTTGGAAATTACAAATTTCCCTGGCAGCCAGGAAGCTTTTCACCTCTCCAGCTTATCAGTATCTCATGCCTTGGAGACATTGGTGGGAAATGTTTGTGTGTTTACTGTTGCTAAGTCTTTGAAGCAAATATCCCTTTGTAAAAGAAAAAAAAATACAGCACCCAGAATGAAAAGCTATACTCCAGGTTAACAATGCCTAGAGTATTATTGCATTATCAATACTCTTCCATCTCCCAGTTAGGAATGTTTCCCTGCCCTCTTTGACTGCTCTTTACCAAGGCAAATAGTATACTACCAAGCACTCCCTGAAAAAGCTGATAGGACTTGGGGAAGAGAGGAAAGTTCAAAAATGCCTCTCTCCCATGTAAACTGCAGTAACAAAAGGTAAGGAAATTACTTCGGTAGAGTGGGAAAGCACTGGATGCAACGTCAGAAAATGTGGATTCCAATCCTAATCTTCTACTTAATTCCTGTGTGACCTTGGGTAAGTCACTTAACTCCTATGAGCCTTAGTTTCCTCATCTGTAAAATGAGGGAGTAGACTAGATCTCCAAAATTCTTCCAGCTCTAAATCTATGATGTTATAATGAAGAACCTTAACCTACACTGGGCAAGCGTAGTTATGAGGAATGTGTAGTTTGAGAACTAGATTCAATTCTGCGCTAAAAAGTTGAACAAAAAGTTTATGTGAGCCAAAGAACAGCTTGCATATGAATTGGAGAAGAAATAGAGGATAGCTTGGTGGGATGGTAGGATCACATGAAGGTTTTTAAGGATGGAGGAGGTCTGGGCATATTTCTAGGCAGTTGGGAAAGACCCAGTATATAGGGAAAGATTGAAGATTAGAGAGGCAATGGATGGTCATAGAGGGGATGGGATCAGGAGTTCTAATACAGGGACTGGGCTTGTCAACAGGAAAAAGGACCACCTTTCATTATAGGCTAGAGTAAAAGGCCAGAGAACAAGAGGTGATACCAGTACCAGTCGGTATGCTGGCTGCTGTGATCACTGTTTTTTAGTGAGGCAATTGGGGTTAAGTGGCTTGTCCAGGGTCACACAGCTAGTGAGTGTTATGTGTCTGAGGCCACATTTGAACTCAGGTCCTCCTGAATCCAGGGCCGGTGCTCTATCCATTGTGCCACCTACATGCCCCCTGATCACTACTTTTCTTTCTAGATGCTCATTAACCATCCCTTTCATGATACATTTTAGAATATTACTGGGAGTCAAAGGCTCACCAGCTTCTGGTTGGCATTTCTCTTCCAAATTTGAAATTGAGATATTTGCTCTTTTCCAGTCCTATGCGATGGAGGCCTTTGGATTTTTCAGATATCACTGATAGTGGCTTAGCTATCACATCTACCAGTTGTATTTGTGTGGCATGTCTAGGCCTGGTGACCTGAAGTCATGAAGGGAAACTAGGCACTTTCTTTCTATAACCCCTACTCAATTTGGTTATCAGCTCACTAGTATCTGTTTCTGCTTTACCAGGTCTAATTAAATCTGTGGCGTATGAAACCAGCATGCTTATAGGTATGGAATTGCAGTCGGTCTTCTGGGCTATTTAAGTGAGTAGGAAAAATACCACAAATGGCAACTCCAGGCCCATCACACCACTGACACCCTGTCAAAGAGTTACACTGACAACTAGTTTTATTAGCAAGATTATAAAATCCATCAACAGCAGCAGCTTTGCCATATGTGTGTGTGTGTGTGTGTGTATATATGTATGTATATATATGTATATATATGTATATGTATGTTATATATATATATGTATGTATATATATATGTGTGTGTGTATGTGTGTATATATATATATATCATAACAGTTCTGAATATGGACTATTCTTCACCTCTGAATGCTTAGGTGAGTTGGGGAATTAGCTTAGGCCTAAGCCCTTATCTCTCTAGGTAACATGGATTGATCTCCTCCTCCTCTGAGAGAGGACCTAGCAAGAAAAAGGAGAGGTAGACAGAGACACATTTAATCAAACAGGCAAACAAGGAGCACAAATACACTCATCTGGTAAGTAGGGAAATAAGATCAGTCTCCTATCCCTCATCTTTCCTCTCTGGTACATATTAGACACTTAATGAAATGCTGGGTGGGTTGGCTGATTACTGTTATCTGTTTTAATACCACAGGTTTCTTTACGGCTGTGCTGCAGAATTATGCAAGATCCAAAAAAATCTCTGTAGACTCTGTTAGTTTTAGTCATCATGTAATCAGTGATCCCCAGGACGAAACACTCTCTAGAAGTCTCCCATTTAGAGAGTACATGCTGAAGAAAGCATTTAAGGTAATGAGATAGTTGGTTATTTTCAAAGACACAACTCATAAATCACATGACAGATTGTTCCTTTCTCTCCTATCCCTCTTTCCAGCTTAGTAAATACACCATCTGTTGGAAATGAAATCAGTCCCTAGAAGTAAGAGAGGAAGAAGAGGCAATGAATGTAAATGACTTTTTTTAGGAGTTTGCATGTGAATTGGAGAAGAAATAGAGGATAGTTTGATGGGATGGCGGGATCACATGAAGGTTTTTAAGGATGGAGGAGATCTGGGCATATTTCTAGGCAGTTGGGAAAGATCCACTATATAGGGAAAGATTGAAGATTAGAAAGGCAATGGGTGGTCATGGAGGGTAACTTTCCATAAGAAATGAGAGGAGATGGAATCAGAAGTTCTAATACAGGAATTGGACTTATCAACAGGAAAAAGAACCACCTTTCATTATAGGATAGAGTAAAAGAGCAGAGAGCAAGATGATACCAAGAATTTTTGAGATGTAGAATAAGGAAAAGAAGGACCTTACAGTGATTAGTGCCTATATTCTCAGTAAAGTTAAGTTATTAGGTAAGGTCTTCTGCCGAGATAAAGGTGGTAAGTTGGTGTTGGAGGTTTGGAACCACCTGAGTAACAGCCCAACTGAGATTACATAACAAAAATTTGAAGTAGACCAGTCAGTTGCCTTATAGGATAAATAAAAATTCTTTTGTTTGGCATTTAAACCCCTTCACAATGTAGCTTCTACCTTTCTAGGTTTACAACACATTATTATCCTTCACACATTCTACATTCCAATTAACCTGACCTATGTGATATTCTTTTTATGTTATTCATTTCCCACCTTCATTCTTTTTTTTGCATAGACTGTCTCCCATACCTGGAATGTGTTTTGTAACTTCTTCTTCATAGCTTTCTTCTAAGCTTAGCTTAAGTTCTACCTACTACATAAGGCATTTTCACATCCTCCTAATTGCCAGTAGTGGAAGAGGTGGGGGTAATCCAGGGTTGGAGTCTGGCAAAAGCATGAACACTGATTAGATGATAGGGCAAAGGACTTGGGATTAAAAGACAGTATATAATTAAGCTGTTTAATTATAGACTGGACAGGGAAAAAAGGAGGGAATCCAGAGTAGAAGTGCTACACGGCTTAGGAAAGCCCTGAGGGTTGAAGGCACTGAATGATAATATGTTTTCGAGTGAGGGGCAGGGGGAGATGGAGAGTTAGAAGGTGACAGAAAAAAAGAATTCCAGAGTTTTTGATTGTGGAAGTAGAGCCTGGACAGGAGAGGACTTGGGAGGAACACCATAGCTGTCTTCTAATATTTGAAGGGCTAACATAGGCAAATGGTACTGAACTTGCCAATATGGCTCCAGAGGGCAGAACCAGGAGCAATTAGTAGATGTTATAAATTGGAAAGTTTAGGCTCAATGTCAGAAGACCCTTCCTAACAGCTGGAGCTGTCCAAAAGTAGGATGAGCTGCCTCAAGAGGTCCTGGGCTCCCCCTCCTTGGACATCTCCAAATAGAAGTTGGACAACCATTCATTGGAAATGTTACATAATAGGGATTCCTTCCATATATTGAGGTTAGACTAGGTGTCATTTGAGCTCTAACGCTGTAAGTCTGTGAAAGCTTGTGAGGATAGTGAGATCAAAGGTGTAACCATCCCTGTGAGGAGTGGGAGGGTGAAGATTTAGGTCATGGGAATTGAGGATGTTGATGAAATTGAAGATGTTTGAGAAGACATTACTGTATACATTAAAATCCCTAAGTTTTAAGGGAGAAAGTGGGGTTGAATAAGACATGTGAACCAGATTCTGAACTCCTCAAGAAAGGGGAATAATGAACTGGAGGCCAGTGGATGATTGCTACCAGGATCTGGATAAAGTCATATGTCTGGATAGAGAACCTCAAAAGAGAATTTGATGAGGGCAATAAGGAATGTGGAGGGAGCAGGGATAAAGTATTATCTTCTTGGTCTAGTGAAGGAGGGAGGTATGGGAGAAGATACATCTACTACTGGAGAGGGTGGTCAAGGATATGGTATCTTCTGAGGAAAGCTGTGAGGGCCAGAAAACAGAAGGAACCCAAGAGGAAATGATATAACATGAAAGGAAATTTATTCATGATCCAACATGGTTTTAGAGCACAAAATGGAAGGAGTGGGAAGGGCTGACCTGGGGACTTGGGAGATTGGGGCCAAAGTCTATGTGAGGGGGGAAAATAAAGAGCAGTATCAAGGGAAGGAGGTGGGTTTTGCTCAGGCAGACAGCTATTCTGCATCAAGGGGATTAGGAAAGGAGGTGGGAGTTTGCTAGCCACAAGATGGACATGTCATAGATTTTAACCGAGGCTCTCAACCTCAGGAGTGGCACAATAGATATAATGCTGGGCCTGGAATCAGGAAGACACAAGCTCAAATCCAGCCTCAGATACTTAGTAGCGATGTAACACTGGGCAAGTCACTTAACCCCTCTTTGCCTCAGTTTCCTCATCTGTCAAATGGGAATAACCACAGCACTTACCTCCCAGGATTATTGTGAGGATGAAATGAGATAACAATTATAAAACATTTAGCACAGTAGGTGCTGGCACATAGTAGATGCTTAATGAATGCTAGCTATTTTTATTTTAAATCACAGTTCTCTGATATTGGGTCTGATATGGGTAGCATTTCTTGCACCAACTACAGTTGAGTCTTTCTTACTGAGATGGATCTTGGAGGCAAGAGCCTGGTATCTGAGGCATAATGTGGGAGGCTTTGGTCCCCGAAGGCAGGCAATGAGCATTTATTAAGCACTTATTGTATGCCAGGTACAGTTCTTAAGCTTGCAGATGTGCCTGAGGCCGGCTTTGAACTCAGGTCTTCCTGACTCCAGGCACTCTATCCATTGCACCACCTAGCTGCCCAGCCACACTTAAAGCAAAGAATCATGTTAAAACTTAGATTCACAAAAATAAAATTGAGAAGGGAATTATGATCCATTAGGCCCAAAGTCAGGAAGACCCCAGTTCAAATCCAGCCCTCAGTTGCATGACTCTATTACACTTAACTAGCTGTGGGACTCTAAGCAAGTCACTTAACTTCAGTTTGCCTCAGTTTCCTCACTTACAAAATGGGGATCATCATAGCATCAACCTCCCAGGTTTGTTGTGAAGATCAGATGAGATATTTATAAAGCACTTAGCACCGTTCCTGGCACATGATAGGTATTTAATAAATAATTGTTTCCCTCTTTCCTTCCTTCTTTATGCAAAATGATTCTTTACTTTGAAAAATGAATCTCAGTAGGATTTCCTTAGAGAGCCCCTTCTATAGTTGAAACATGATTTGACTTTTAAAAACTTCAGCCCTCATGCAACCATTCACTTAGAAATCACGTCTCACTCAGAGCCAGGCTTCTCCACCTGCTGGAAACAATAAAGTTGTTGTAGTTGATGAATACAGGCCCTATCTGAGTAGGCACAGAGGAGACTGCGGGTACCCCCCTCCCATTCCCCCAGCCTCAGCAGGCCTTCCTGCCACCCATCTCTCTATGGCTGAATCTCTGCCAAAACACTCCAGCTGAAAAGCAGGGACTTGTTGCCAAGGCACTCTCTGGGTTATCAATCCAGATCCCTTCTGGGTGCAGCAAACCTTGACCAATCCCAAAACCTCAGAGACAGAATAAGGGGCTTCAGTAATCTAACTCTCGGCTTGAAAATGCAGCAGAAACTCTTTTTGTTCCACTTCAAATCTTATTGTTAATCTTTTTGGTAAATACACGATTACCTTTTCCTGGCATCCAATGCCAGGTTTCCTGAGCCTCATCAGATCTTCTAGGGCCAGGGATACCCATGAGAATATGACTTTATCTTGTAGAGGATAGCGACTGTAGAAGTAGGGGGTACAGGAGATTGGGGTAAGCATGAATTCAGTGTTGGACAGCCTCTGGAAGTTGATGTTGTGACTAAATCACTGATGTGAGCTTGCTTTCATGTGATTTCTCTTTCTCTAAACTGATTAGTCAAGTCAGATGAGGAAACTGAAGCAAAAAGGGTTAAGTGACTTACCCAGGGTCACACAGATAGTAAGTATATAAGGCCACATTTGAACTCAGGTCCTCCTGATTCCAGGGTTGACACTATCCACTGCACCACCTAGCTGTCTATGAAAATAGAAGACAGGAAAATATCCTGGTACTTGAATGGGTTTAGTTAGTTCTGCTTTTTTCCAGTCACCAAATGCTCAGGTGGCCTCAGATTCACACACTGACCCATCTTTACTTAAGTCTGTCAAAGTCTGGAGTTGAAAGGAGAGAGGAAGGGCAATAACAGAGTGTTATGTTCCAAGGAGCTCATCTAATCACAGCTCATGGGCTGGACTGGAAGCATCCACAGAGGCCATCTTGTGGAACTCCTACATTTTACAGATGAGGAAACTGAAGCCCTAAGAGGTTAAGTAATTTGCACACGGTCCCACAAGTGACAAGAGGCAGAACCAGAATTTGAATCAAGGACCTCCGTCTCCACATCCGATGATCCCTTCCACAATACCACACCCGAGTAAGGAAGACCTGAGTTCATATCCAGCCTCAGACACTTAACTAGCTGTGTGACTCAGAATAAGTAACCTAACCTCAGTTTTCCTGTTTCCTCAACTGTAATCCATGCTGCAATAATAGTCTTTGGGAAGTAAATGAAGTAAAGTAAAAATCTACTCAGTGCTGTACTGGTGAAAGAAAGAAAAACCAAAGAAAGAAACAGAAAAAAGAGAGAGAAAAGAGAGAAAGGGAGGAAGGAAGGAAGGAAAAGAGAAAGAGAAACATAGAAACAAACAAAAACACAAGATACTTTTTTTTGGTGAGGTAATCAGGGTTAAGTGACTTGCCCAAGGCCACACAGCTAGTAAGTATCAAGTATCTGAGGCTGGATTTGAACTCAGGTCCTCCTGACTTCAAGGCCGGAACTTTATCCACTGTGCCACCTAGCTGCCCACAAGATACACTTTTAAATTTAATCAGCATAATTAACATTTTTCTATCAGTTTCTCAAGTCTAAATAATCAACAAAACAATAAAACAAGCCCTGATTTGTAGCTTCCCAATTCCTGAGATAGAAATGCTGACATTGAAAATTTAACTATCGGCTCTGGATGGACAGGCTCCTGAATGCCCCTGGAATCTATGTCATCATAACTGTGTTCCTCAGTTTATACTGGAAGCTTTCCCTGATGGTGCTTTGGATGACATCTTTCCAAATACAAGCTATTGCCAGCTTCCTGCTTTTGTTAAAAGAATGCCCGAGTTCACTGACATAGCCTTTTTTTGGTTTCAGGACATTAAACGTAACCAAGTTGGAGTTATCATTTTTGGTTTATATATGGAAGGAGCAAAATGGAACCTAGAAGAAAAATATCTGGATGACCCGCTGCCTCGAGAGAGATACTCTGATTTTCCAGAAATACATTTTTTGCCCGAAAAGGTAAATATTTAGTCATTTACCACCAAAGCACAAATTCTCAGAAGCCAGAGGTTGGCTAACTTTCTCTGCAAAAATGCAAACCACCTATCCATGGGCCATGTGACCTAATAAATTTTTTTCAAAAATTACCATAGCTCAAAATAACACTCCAATCTGAAATAAATTCAACCCCAAGACAGAAATTTGTTCTTTCTAGGAAATAAGTGCTAAAAACTGAAAAAAAAAATGTTTTTTTTAAAAAGCTTTATTTTCAACAGATATTTACAAGTTAATCAGTCAGTATTTATTAAGCACCTACTATATACCTAGGACTACTAAACTGCTGTCTAAAGTGGAATGAGTACTTATTACTCCAGTTCCTTCTTACAAAAAATCCACTTCAAGGATAATCCAGAGATAGAGGACATATTGGAAATTTCACTGATAAGAACAGAGAAGGAACTCTGTTTTCAAAAATGTGTATTGATTGGGGGAGGGGGGTTCTTGAAAGATTGGTTGCAGATTATGAGCCTAGACTATCAAAGTTGAAAAGTGAGGCTGAGCGACTGCCTTAGAACTAAGTAAGACTCTGTGATGCTGTTAGGTAGAACTGAAATATTTCTGGCACACATCACCAAGGTGAGACAGTTTGATAACTCAATAGCAGTCCTGATGATGAGAGATAGATGGAGACAGGATATGACTTTACTAACTGAATTAGCAATATAGATTTATGTTGTAGGGTCCTATGTATTTGATGTTTCTTGAAATTTATAATGACAGTCAACCAGATATATTTTATAAATATTTATATGTATATATGATCAATGCTTACAGCATTAATGATATGTACTTGATACTGGTTATATATTTCCTGAGATCGTTAAATGTGATTTATCTTTCATTCGTTGGTGGCATATGCATGATCTTAGCCAAAAAGCCAAGAAAGAGTCTTCGTGATGTCAGGAGAAGAAAAAAAAAGGCCCCCCTCTCAAGGGCCTGCTGGAGCCAGTTCTAACTGACTGAAGAGAGCCCACAGTTAAATTTTCAGTGTGAACATTTACACTTCAGAAATCATCAAAAGCTATAAATCAGAGCTTGATTTTTTATTTTGATGATTGTCTAGATTCAAGAAACTGATGGAGAAAATGTTAATAATCCAGGTTAAATGTAAAAGTGTGTCCTGAGCTACATTGTTCCCTGGCAAACCAGTTGTTAAAATGTTTACTGCTATACCCTTGCCCCTCTGGCGAATTTATGGGAGGAAATGGACAAGAATCACCTGGCATAGGCAGGCCTGGTTACGCTGTGATCTGCTCTGTTGTAGACCACGGACACACTGGCAAGATGGCAGATCCACTGGAACCCTGGAATATAGCTAGGTCTCAATTAGTTCAAATAATGAATCCCCTGAAGTAGTCAATATTATTTAAATTTGTACTTCATGTACCCATTGGGCTAGACCCAAATACCATATTTTACATAATTATAACTTACAATGCAAATTCAAAATACATGAACTACATCAGGGTACGCATTATTGAAACCAGTCAGGGCCTAGCTAATGCACTAAAAACCCTTTTTTCCCTATAAAATGGGAATGATCATACTTCCATTATCTACCTCAGAGTTGTGATGAAAACATTTTGCAAATCATAAAGCACTATAGAATTAACAGCCGCTATTGTTATTCTAAAGAAAACCACGGCCATGATGATTTTAAATGATCTGATTTTCTGTCATAATACTCAACATCAGATACATTACTATCTGGCCTCTCGTTACGCTGAGTTATTAACAAAGCCCCCCAAATCTAGCAAAGAAAAAATGTAATTCAGCTGCCCTAAATTATGCAGTGTGACTGCTTGATTTTTTTTTCTCATTTCAAAGATTTCCACTCCAATGGGTAGTCTCAAGGATGTCTTCATAAAACAGAAGCTTTATGAATGTCCAGTTTACCGGACCCCTCAGAGGACAGAGTCTGTAGCCTCTCCTAGCATATTTACCAACTTCATAATGTCAGTGTTTTTGCAAACACAGAAGCCTCCCCCTCACTGGATTACAAGACGGGTGGTATTGCTATGTGAACTCAATGAATGAAAGAAAATGTCCTTCCTATTTATCCTTAGCCCAGCAAGATTTAGCATCTGAGAAGAAGCACCAGGCCAAAACATAAAACAGAAGTTGTATGTTAGAAAGCAGGTCGTGAGCATCTTCAATAAATATTTAACACATATGTGTCCATTTCAGTAAAGCCCCACGAAATTTTCCCAAACCATCCCTTAACTCTTTCCCCATCCTCACTCTCAAATCAAACACAAGCCTAAAATTACAGAACTAGAAAGTGCTTTATGATCCTGTCCAACTCCCTCACTGATTGAGGAATCAGATGAGGAAACCAAGGCAAAGCCAGAACTAGAGCTCCAATCTTAGCATTTAATCCAGTGCCCTTTCCCCTATCCATGCAGTCCCTGAAGTTCAGGTATATTGAAATGATAAATACTTGCAGATGATGACAGTTCAATTGAATCACATATTTGTTTTGTTTTGTTTTGGGGGGGTGCTAGCCAATGGGGCTAAGTGACTTGGCCAGGGTCACACCGCTAGTTAAGTGTTATGTGTCTGAGGCTGGATTTGAACTTAAGTCCTCCTGACTCCAGGGCTGGTGCTCTATCCACTGCACCACCTAGCTACCCCACATATTTGTTAAAAGTGCCCATTCTATACCAAGCAGTGTGTCAGGGACTGGAGATGCAAAGACAAATATGTATTAATTATTTTAACTCTGGTGATTCCCTCCATATAATGGTAGCGTACTACTCATCCATCAGGCTTTACTCTTCTATTCATGTTTCTGTATGCCAGGAGCTCTCTTCTCCCTTAGCCCCTAACCTACATCCCTAGATATGAGTTACATAGTACTTCCCCCCAACCAGGTCCTTTCGTCTCCCTCCCACCATTCCCCTTTCCTGCTCTCTTTTTCCCTCCTTCCTGTACCTCTTCCCTTCCTTCCCTTCCCTCCCCTTCGCACTCTTCCTCTTCTCCCCAGCCCCCTCTGCTTGGTACAACATCATACCCTGATACCCTGCAAGGCCAAAGCTGAGAAGGCTATTGGCTCACAAGACTTCTATAAAGTGATTTCCTCAAATCGAGGGTTTCCTTAAATAAGGTCATGAGATTTGGCTGTCTGCACCCATCTTGTGAGTTTCTCTACTGCCTTGGCTTGAGTAAAAAAGCCCAGCTTCAGCAAACCCCAGAATTAAACTAGTACTTTTCCAACCAGGCCCAGAATGAAATAATAACTTGGCAGTCAACTCCTTGAACAGGGAAGTCAAGCTTGTGGTCAACTGTGCTGAATAATAAATAGCTGCCCCTCGGGCTAGGAGCAATGACTAAGAGGCTGCCAAGTTCTACCTGCTTATCGTACTCCTCAAAACTGCTATTTGCTGGGGGTCGGGGGACATCTTAGCTTTACAAGAGCACTTCACACAGTCATTTCAAGCACCCTGTAATTTGAAACCACCAAATGATCTGCTGCTCTGGGAGGTTAACACACACATTTTAGTTCAAGGGAACTGATCCTTAAACAGCTGATCCTTTGGCCCTCTTCTTTATGGAAGGGGAAATGACTGGGCTATGATTCCCCTTCAGGGTAGGAAGCATATCTTTATTCATTTTCATGAACCTACTGGGTCCCAAATGGATGTTTGTTGAGTGCATCTGGAAAGAAATGGACCCCAAACAAGATGATAATAAAAATAATAACAAAAGCTAACACTTAGGTAGCTCCTTTACAAAGATTATCTCATTTGGCCTTTATGACGGCCTTTTTAAGGGAGGTGGTGGTATTATCCCCATTTTACAGCTGAGGAAATGAAGCTGAGAGCTTAAGTGACTTGCCCAGAGTCAGCTCATGATTGAACTCAGCTGTCCTCATCTGGACCCATTGTGGCTACCACAGCGGGGGGAGAATGTAGGAGAGGAGCAAAGGCAGAGCAGTGGAAGCCGAGTTGGCAAGAGAAATAGGAATAAAACAGAGCAAATGAAAGAACAGGAGGGGGCAGACAAACTTCTGGGAAGCACCAAGAACCATCATTACTGGTGTATTTCTTGGGGAGCCAGGAGCTTTCCCCCTGCTTCAGGAAGCTGGAAACTCAATCTATACATGCCCACTGCTATCACCACCCGTGCATTTCTTTTTTCCTTTATTAAGGTAAGTAGTTCTTGAGAGCTACAATGTCTTTCTCCCATCATTTCTTTTCCCATGTAGGAGAATGTGGTATTTGGGATTGTAACAGAGAGTTTGCTAAGGGTGGCAGGTTGGGATAGAAGAAGAAGAAGAGCTAGCACTGGAACCAGGAAGACCTGAATTCAAGTCTTAAATCTAGAACATATGGCTGTGTGACCCCTGGGTAACTTCTCAGTGCTCTACGCATTTCTCTAAGACGTGGGTTGAGGATGCCAAGCTGCACGGGTAGAGGAAATTTCTTTCTCCTTAAGTTCCTCATACCAATGAAATAACAGGTTAAGTGCCTGGTTGTTGTTGTTCAGTTGTGTCTAAGACTTTGTGACCCTAATTGGAGTCTTCTTGGCAAAGACACTGGTTTGCCATTTCCTTTTCCAACTCATTTTACAGATCAGGAAACTGAGGCAAACAGAGTTAAGTGACTTGTCCAAAGCCATGCAGCTAGTAAGTGCCTGAGGCCAGATCTGAACTCTAGAAGATGAACCTTTCTGCCTTCAAGTCTGGCATTTTATTCACTGCACCACCAAAGTGCCTAAGGAAGGCTTTTATGGCCTCTCCCTAAAGTCTGGTTCACCTTTCTTCAAGTGGATCAGATTATCGGCCTTGTAAAATAAGCTTTTGCCCCCTAAAGAGCCCCAGTCTGTGTTAATACAGAAGGTCAATCTTGGTGAAATTCCACTGATATAAATTTACTTAGGATTCCACACTGCCTGCTATCAAAGAGGGTTTGGGGCAATTTTTTTTAAGTTTGCACAATAAAAAGTAATATCATTATCTTTAAAAAGAACAAAAACAATACAAAGTAACAAAGAAATAGATGTTACCAGGCACCTGGGATGAGTTGATCATTGCCCGTGAGGGCTCAATTTAGCCCTGAGCCTCTTGGCAGCTAAGAAGAAAGGATTGCATTCAGGTTCAAATTAAATTACATGCATACTATGTGCCATTTATCATTATGTGATGAAAAGAAGGCCACCTTCTACAGAAACGAATTTGGCATAAATTCCAAAGAACTATTTATTGTGCGGATCCCAGACCAGTAGAATGGATAAATGTGTAATACTACTTCCCATTCCTGCAGCAATTTTCCTAAGAGACAACCCAATGGCACTGCCAGTTTACTTCTTCGTCACCTCTTCTCCACTGCTACCCCCATCATTCTCCCCTTGGTTGAGCTGGGCCAAGTTCATTCCCAAGAGCTCTTTTACTTTGGTGTCTTCTATTGTTTGTCCTAATCTGTATAATTTCTCTGATCTATTTACTCAGATAAACAGGTTAATTAGCTATCAGTGAGTGACATTTGTGTAACCAGCTTAGTGGAAGGAAGCCAAGTTGGCAACTGTTTGTTGTTGTTTATTCATTTCAGTTGTGTCAGACTCTCGGTGACCCCATTTGGGGTCTTGGCAGAGATAATGGAGTGGTTTGCCATTTCCTTCTCTAACTCATTTTACAGATGAGGAAACTGAGGCAAACAGAGGTTAAGTGACTTGCCCAGGGTCACACAGCCAGTAAGCGTCTGAGACTGGATTTGAACTCGGGTCTTCTTGATTCCACTGATCTATCCACTGTGCTACCTAGTAGTCCCAAACTTTCCCCTTAAAAACAATGTGGGAAGGTGGCTTTTTATTCCGAGCCCATTACTGCAAAGCTAGACTACAGATATTTGATATGTATCAGACAGACATAAATCTAACACTCCTCTTCTAGACAAAGAGAATACAGACGAACCACTCTGTCACAAGAGATCGTCATGAATCCTCCTCATCCCTCTTCTGCTAAGCTGCTGGCTGAACCTGGCACTAGCTTCCTCTTCCTCTCAACAAAAGTGGACGTTGCAATCTCCCTTATAGAAAGCGGCCAGATCCCAAATCAGATGTCTGGCCATGCCATTTGTATATTAGATGGGAGCTTCCACACACATCTACATGAAAAATGAAAAGCATCCATTAAACTCTTATGTGCCAAGCACCGAGCAGACACATACAAAAGCAAGACAGTTCCTGCCTTGGAAGAGAGGGACACAATCAATCTAGAGGAACAATTACGAAATCTACTAACCTTCTACTTCTGACTTCTCCTTCACTGTTACCCTCCCAGTCTCTTCCTGTTCCCACCAAGATTCTGTCCTGGGCTTTGATGTCTCCATCTGTGGTTTTCACACACACACACACACACACACACACACACACACACACACGCTGTTCTTTTTTCATGTTTCTTCTATTGACCTATATAAGCTGAAGCTATAACGTGAAATCATCATTCTGTCTTTGTCTTCTGCTTCAGACTCTTCTCAGTTCACAATCTCCTGGATCTCTCTGCCAACATCTGACAGTGTTGACTTCTCCACTAACTTGACTGCCTCCTCAACTATTACAACTGTTAACGCCCAGTTTCTTTCTCCTCCTCCCCTCTAGATGTAAGTTTCTATTCTGGTTTCCCCCTTCCCCCCATCTTTCCTTTCCTCTCCTACTCTATGCTTGGTAACTTCATCCACTGCTGTGGTTCAATGACCACCAGTATACATAATGACTTCCATCTTGCATTCCCAGCTACTTCTTAGAAATTCCCATTAGGATGGCCAACTTAGTTACATGACAGAATCAAAGAATTGTAAGAGATATCAGAAAAAAATTAATTTAACCCATACCAGATCAAGAATCCTCCTTACAATTTAACAAATGGTCATCTAATTTCTCCTAGAAGACCTCCAGTGAGGAGTACACATTACCTCCCAAAGCAGCTCATTTCTTTTTTGGATAATGCTGTTAGAAAGTGTCTTTATATCAAGACTCATTTGCCTCCCTTTTATTTTCAATCATTATTCCTCTTATATCAAGCCTCATTTGCCTCCCTTTTATTTTCAATCATTATTCCTAGTGCTGGCTTCTGGGGCCAAAAAGAATAAATCTACTACCTCTTCCATAGGACAACTCTTCAGATATTTGAATACAGTTAGTTATCCAAGGGTGTAACAACCAGCACTGGAAGGGGGGAGGAGGAAAGGAAATATGCCTGGGACACTTTTTAAGTTTAATCTG